CCGGAAGCTGGAGGGTGTAGGCCCGGTTAGGGGCCAGCTTGAAGCCACCGCGGGCCAAGACGGGCTTTCCTGCGCCGGGCTGGATCCCGGGCCACACTGGGTGCGAGCACTTGTTGTATAGTATCACTGAGGCTGCTGAAACTTTGAGCACTGGAATGCAGATGAGGAAGAAGAGAGTGATGAGATTGAGAAGGGGTGACATCATCGAGCCCGTGGCGGTAGAGATAGACTGGGCTGGGCTATGTTTGTGTTTGTCTATTGGTGCTGAGTAGAGAGTGGCTTTTATAGACTCAAAGGGTGGGTTTAAGAAGGATAAATGAAGGTGTTTAGGGTATGATGATTGAGACAAGTGAATGTAATTGGTCGAGATGCGGGCCCAATAGACATATACATACGTTAGGGGACGACAGCTTTTATAAAGTGTGAAAACGGGCTTCCTCACTCACATGGAAATGGTATTTTGGTTAGGTTAAGAACTAAGTAGGAAAGAAAGTGAGGTAAATGCTCGGGGCCCGAGGAACGAGTGTCAGACAGAGAGAGAGAGTGAGTGGTGAAGGAGAGAGGCTTGGTTTGTCCGCATGAGAGCAGAAGAGAAATACAAAATTCACATGACTAAGAGAATCGTACTAGCTTTCTATCGTGGGTGGGTGTCCTCTAACTCTCAGACTGCACTATGCTAATTGCACAAGCCATCCCCAGCTCATAACTAAAGCCACATTTTTCCCCACAAATATCAATAAAAAAAATGCTGTTTCTGTCATATAATTGTACAATATTTTATATAAAAAATAGATAAAAACAACAAATACAAAATAAAATAAGGAATGTGATTATAAAAAAAAAAGATTACACATGTTTTTAAGCGTTTCAACAATTTGTATACTAATTTTAATTTTTCAATAGCCTCAATTTTTACTTTTAATCTTTAAATTTTTTTAACATTTTAGTATCAAACAAATTTATTTATAGACTAAAAATAAAAAATTGACAAAAATTTATAAATTAAAATTTTATTTAATTAGGAAAAGTGTGGAAAGAAAGGATGAGATTAAGTTAAAAATAATATTATAAAAATTAAATAAGTTTGCATTCATTATAAAATGAATGGATTTTAATTTTAATTTTATATATGTTTTATTAATGACTTATATATCGAAAATAATGTCAAGTAACTATGTAGAGTAATATCATTAGTAGTACTATCAAGTATTTACATTAAAAATTATCTTGTTTGAAATAAGTAAGATCACTACAAGTGATATAATTTTTTTTTCAATATTTAACATATGTATATGTTTTAGATTTAAACCATGATCACTGATTAACTTGAAATAATCTTGTAGTATTTGATCCTTTATATGTTATCTTTAAAATTTCTTATTATTTATATGTTATCTTCAAAAAAAAATTTACGTGTTATTTTTGTGCAGGATCATCTAATCTTTTTTATGTATCTTTTCAATTTTATTAGATGTCCTAAAGGGACACTAATGAATTTTTTGAGATACCTAAAATTTAAATTATTTATTTATTCATTTTACTAAAATTTTAAAATATTATTAAGATTGAAATTAATAATTGATTTAAATATATTTTTAATTCATTAAATATATAATAAATTTATTTTTGATCCTTTAAATTTTAAATTATTATTTTTAGTTTCTGTAATTTTAAAAAAAATTATGTTAATCTCTTAGATTAACAATAATATTTTTGAAAATAGTAAATTGAGACATTTATGCGTCATCAGTTAAGTTTAATATGATATTTTTATTAATAAAAATACCAGCAAGTAAATTTTATTTGACAATTTTTCTAATAAAATTTGAATATAAAAATTAAAAAGAGTAATTTTTAATTTAAACAAAATTAAAAATAAATTTACCTTAAATTTGAAAAATTAAAAATATATTTAAAACATAATAATTTCATATTTTAGAGAAATAAAAATTATTTTTTTATAAAAATCAAATTAAAATTAATGTATTTAATGATATTAAAAATAACAACATCAAATTTTAGAAAATTAAAATTCAGTCCTTATAACAACTGATATCATATTTAATTTTAAAAATAAATATTATATAAATAATACAATTTATGTTATATTAATATGTGCAAAATAATAATATTATTTACTCTTTTGAATCATTTCCAAGGGAATTCTGTAGCAGGAAGTGGAAACAAGATATTATCGTCTCATTGCCACACAACGTGGTAGCAATAGTATGATGTTCAGGTTGAAAAATAAAAAAGTATACCAGTATCGTAAGAATATTAATTAAAAAATATTAAATATCTTCACTTACTTTTTTTTTTATAGTAATATCTTTACTCACTTAAAAGTAAGTATTCAGGCGTAAAAAAAATATTAAATACCTTTATATTTTAACATAATTAATACTATTATATATATATACATATATAATTATATCAAATACATAATTATATGTAAAATAAGTTATATTCGTCCGTTGTGCAACTAAAAACAATTTGGTTACATCAAAGTAATCTAAAAAATATGAGTTACTACTGACATGACTTACTACTAAGGCATCTGAGTGAATATGTTAATTTTGATTTGATATCATATTAAGTATGATTACCATAATTCCAACTATAAAGAAATCATAGTATAAGTTTATGAAAAAAAAAATCAACAAAAATACATAATTGAATGACATACAACAATTATAGCGTAATTAACTTTATATAAAATAACATATCACTCATCAACTAACAACGTAATATACAACTTTCAACTTATGACAAGTCAAACAACTTAATCAATGTTAACACATTTAACACAACATATATATATATATATATATATATATATATATATATATAACGCGTCCACACACGTATATAATATATCTCCATATAAC